ACCAATCTAAAACAATGTCAGGTTACACATCTAAAGGAGATGTGCTTTCAGAATGTGCTGCAATAACTGTGTATCATTCCCTGTCACTATCCTAGCCCTGTGAATACTCCAAGGACTGTAGCTGCTGTAAATCAGAATGCATTAATTCTGTGCCTTAAGGAACTTGCAGGGAAACGTCTCTTGCCTTCTGTTGGTACTGTCATCTGTCAGAGGGGGAGCTGGTTTTGTTAAGACATGTGGGTGCTCTTCCAATGTCAATAAGAGCTAACAGTAATTGATGTTAATAAAACAATACTCTTTTACATTTATTGAAGGCATGGACCTAATTATCAGCAAGCATAAAAATAAAATGAAATTGAAACTTATCATACGTGTTTGCTAGAATAGAACAGCTACAGTACAGTACAGTAGAACATCTCCTTGAAAAAAATCCCTGCATTGCAGAGAAGCCAAACTATGGATAAAATAAACCATTTTGCAAACAAATTTTTTTTCATGGAACTTTCTATCGCCACAATGATACAGCCGTGGCCTCCAAATAATTTTCCATACTTCCTGCTGTTCTAGAATTCTCACCCTAAGCAGGAGGACTAGGCCACAAGTCTGATCCTATTTGTGTTTCTGTAATTGGTTCCAAAAGAGAAAGCTGGCCAGATAAAAATCTGAGTCCATGACCTTCTAATGAAAAAATAGAAAGAATAAAAAATAGAAAAAAGAAAGAACAAATTGATATAAAATTGCAGGAACTTAACATCTCAGTGATCATCTGTGACCATATTTAATTGTCACCCATGCTTTGAAAATAGAAGGTAAAGAGCATAAAGAGCATCATGAAAATTAAAGTAAAGAGGTTTCGGATAACTAACAATGCTGCTATTCCTGCTTAAAAAAACCCCAACAATAAAACTGAAAAAAACCCCCAAAAAATATTGCTACTGGCAATCCATCCAAACATTTAAACACCAATCCTTTGTTAATCCCAACCCTGTCACTACTTCTCCTCTTTACAGATGGGTATCTTCAGCATTACAAAAAATGAACATTCAGGAGAAAATGCAGGAAACATCATATGATTCCGTGTAAAATACAGCAAGTGCAGCCCTTGGAGGATTTCTCTCTGCTTTTACATATTCTGTATTTCAGGTTTTACTGCTGTTGAGACAGGTCATCTAGCTGATTTTTTTATGTGACACAGAACCCTTCTGAGAGCAGTCTGTGCGACAGAGCAATGAGTTTCCTTCCTGTTTCAGGCAGTTTTACCTACCTCAGGTTTCATAATCACATGTCACCACAGATCCAAGGGAGCCACCAGGTTTTTTTCACAACCTATTTCACCACTCTCACTGGGGCTCCTCACCATGGGTCAGGCTGTAGCAATTTTAGTGGCAGTTTGCAAGGCCACAGAAGGAAAAGACCACCTGATGCCATGTCTCTGGGAAGGGTTAAGAAGGAGACATAATGGAAACAGAGCAGTGGGTGAGAGACAAATAATCTCTTCCTGCATATGCATTGGAAACTCAAGAGCCAAATACTTGTGTCTTTTCTGTGGTGAGTATTAAAATTCCACGCAGCTCAGGCTTGTTATGTTTTGCTATACACTCACCAGAGCAGGACTATGGGGATAAAACTCTGTTCTCCTGCTAATTATTTAACCAGGCCAGATTTTCCCCAGCATGTATGCTGGCACCAAGGAAACTTTCAAGAGTTTGAAAAGAGACTGAGCTGCAAAACATTCCTCCAAGTCAGTTATGGAAACACTTCCAGTGAAGAATTACACCAACAGCCATGGAGACAAGAGCCCACAGGCCTTGAGAGAAAACCCCAGAATTCCTCCAAGTCCAGGAAAACCTAACTTCCTTCAGTAATGACAAGCCATTGGGGAAGGAAAAAGGTAGCAATCAGAGAGGTTAACTACCAGTTCCTTCTGCTTATTACCTAAGGAGAGAATGCCACTGTGCCTGGGTCAGGGTTCCACTAGGCAGAAGAGACTATGAATCCATAACAAAAGCAGCCCTCTTGAGGAAGGAGAGAGAAGCCAAAAGAAAATAAATCAGATGAATCAGTGCTTATTGATGTCTGCATTCATTACATGCAGAAGAAGCTGCAAAATAGGCTGAAGAGAAACTCCCAGACATGAAGTTCCTTTCCACAGCTGATCTTTCTTCTGGCAGGTGGGGATGCTCTCATTTCCTAACTCACCCTAAACATGTGCTGCCACTGCTCCCCTTGGGCTGCCTCTAGTGCTCATTAAGTTTCTCAGTGAGCTGATACAAATTTTCAGCATTGGCCCAAAGCACAAACACATAGAATCACTGAAGCTTGTCCACAGGCCATTCTTTGAAACACCTTGGTTGGAAACTGCAGAGCTCCTTCTCTATCAGGGTCCTCCCTCCCTCCCGAATTAGTTTTGCCATTCTACCGATTAAAGCCATGAAAACAATCCCACAGAGGGAGATGCAAACGAGCAGTAATTGTATTTATACACTGGAAGCTCGATTTTCTTCGGAAAACGCGGTAAAGAGAAGTAGAGGGGTGAAAGCCAGCTCTCAGGAGGCTCCCGGGGAAGCTCTCGGGAGCGGCGCCGTTCCCAGGGAAGGGCGGCGGGAGGCGGCGCTGGCAGCAGGGGCGGGACTGGAGATTTCCATACCGCTCTCCCAGAATGCGCCGGGGCCCCCGAGCAGCAAGAAAAGGCTTTTTCCCGTGCTTAAAGGCTTGTCTTTGCAACATTGGCTTTCATCGCGCTGTCAGAAAATAGGAACCCAAATTCCAGGGCAGCTGAAAGCGAAGCCAGCAATTTCAGGGCTAGCCATAGCCGCGAAGGTGTGACTCTAAGGGAGGTATAAATACTCATGGGGTGAAGAAAACTTTCGGCTGGTCCGAAGGTAGTGGGGTATCTCAATTGATTGTTCACAGTCAGTTACAGATTGATCTCCTCGTTCTCTCTTTCCCCCCTTCCCACTACTGCACTTGACTAGTCTTTTGCACCCTGAGCAGACCCTCCCGCAGCATTTGTTCATCGCCATCACCAGGCTCTCAGTTTTAGTGCAAGGAAAAGCACACGCAAACAAAAACCACCCCCCCCTAAAAAAACCCCGAACAAACTGTCTTATAAATATGTGTAATAGTGCATGCTATTGCAATATCCACACTTCCAGCCAAATTCTTCCTGGTTCAGCTCGCCAGGCGCTGCCTGCAGCCTCCAAAGCTGCAAAGATAACCTGGCTAATTTAGATTAACCTGGTGGCATGCCGGGACAGCAGGGTGCTCTGAACAGAGGTGTTCCATAGATACAGAACTGGCTACATGCATTTATAAATACATACCACTTAGCACAATCGAAAGTGTTTCCAAGTATTTTTGAGAAGTAGCGTAGGAACCTCATCTTCAGAACTACACCTGCTCAGAGAGGTGAAGCAGAACAGAGGTGGCAGAAGGGACAGCCTAGCTGTCTCTGATGGCTAGAGAGCTAAAGCATTGTCTGAAAAGATGCACATCTGAGGATTTTTAGGAAGAGAGAGGCATCACCTTAGCCTTGGGCAGAAGGTCTAACCACTGTTGTAAAAGCATGGAGGGTCACACCTGCCGCTCAAAGATAAATTCTTTGATGGGGCATGTCAGGCACCTGCTTTCCAAGAGGGAGTTTTATGCTGACAATCACAACAGACTGCAAGCACAGTTCTGTGACCTCAAGATGGTCTCACTGTGTTTAAGTCTGAAAAAGGGATGGCTTTCAGGCCTTTTTCTGCTGGCTGGAGTTTCATTGGGCTTTACTCACCGCCCTGTTTGTTTTGGATCTTGTCCGATTCTCTCCCTGCAGGCAGACTTCTACCCTGTAGGTGCATCCCAGATATCAAGCTTCAGGCTTTACATTCCAGTGCAGGTGCCAGGCACCTAAATTTTTGATACTTAATCTTTTACTAGAATGAATAAATCATGGCTTGGGATGAGGAAAACATTGTTGCATCCACAGTGTTGGATGGATCTTGCTTATTCTGAAATATTAACACTGGACTCAATTTAGTAGAAGGAAGAAAAACTCACCTTGGAAAAAGGAAATGTCATAGACAGCAGAGAACCACATAACCACTCCTTTCTTGTGGCAAACAAACAAGTGCAGCAAGATACTTATGAATGCATTTGATATTCTCTGAAGTCAAAGTGTCTGAAGAAACTAAATTTTGCTGTTAGACTCTGTTGAGTCAGAAAAAGTTCATTCGTTATTTTATCACTATTAAAGTGCATGTTCTAAATTGGTTATTGATTTCAGCCAGTCACCAGATGAAAGCAAAGAATGTTTCAAACCAAAAGAGTTTTGAGGCAATGTTATTTTTTTCCCCTCCAAACAGTATCCCAAGATCTACAATTCTCAGTAGAACATTTTTGTACAGTTCTTATTTTATATCTGAGCTGATGCATGTCTCAGGCTAAATGTTTTCTCATGGTTTTTTTGCTCTCATATAGTTATTGATCTGTATTTGCTAGTGGCAAATACACAGAATTGGCTGTATTGCCTGGTACTGCCTGTGATTAATTTACATGTGTAGGAATCTTTACATTGTCCTAATTTCCTCTTTCCATTCCAAGCAGTATGTTTCCCACCAGTGACTTAGGTCTGGCCTTTCAAAGTGCAGTGCTTCATGCACAAGAGGATGAATTGCTCCTTATGTATCCACAGTTCCTCTTCAGGCTGAAGTGTTCAAGTACTGGATGTCTTGTGACAATGAACTTTGACCATTCCTGTAATTCTCAGCAAAACCAGCTGCACTGTTAGAAAAATAACTCCAAACAAACGCTGATTTTATCCTACCACTGAAGCTGTTACCACAGCACTGTGATAAAAGGACTTTTTGATCCTTACCAGTTCCTTTGGACATTCTCCTGGATGAGCAAGCACTAGCCTTATACCCACTGCTGTGTAGCCATGGCAAACAACATGCTTCAAGGAGATCATTAACACTCATGGTGCACTTTGGAAGTGAAAGAATGAAAAAACCAAAGCCCACTGTGACCCCTTTTTTTTTATTTAAAATGTGATTTTTCTATTTAAAGATTGGCTTTTTTGTCCAAATTGAACATTAAGGGTGACCTCTGAGAAAAATGAAGAGGCAGGCAGATTATAGTAAGGCCACTTACATTTCCATGGACTCATTAGTACACCAGTAAACAGCTCTCTTGTTTTGCACCTGCTGAAGTCAGGTGATCTATTACTGCTCCTGCAGGCTCAGGAAAAGGAGCTTGAATGAAGCTCAGCCCTCTTGTCACTATCCCCTCTGTGAAAATCTGCTGTCTGGGAAAAGCTACAGCTTAATTCAACTAGTGGAATTTTACTTGCTATCTTTTAGTAGTTACCGTAAGACTGAAAAAGATGAAAACCAACTCAAAATCACAAAAGAAAAGCCAACCCCCACATGAAAACACATCACTGAAGCCCACTGTCCAAAGGCACCAGCAAAAGTTACATACGAAATATTTCCCATGACAAGTGAACCCAAAGCTGCCTTCCTTACTCAAAGCAGTAGTACCAATTTCTAGTGGCATGTCCCATTTCCTGAATGCATTATGTGGTTCAGTGCTAGTGCAGCAGGAGCACTCAGCAGAGCTGTGGACTTTTGTTTGTATTGCATACTTTATTTGGAACAGGCCCATAGGTTAAATGCAAGTTATTGGGCTGAATATGGAAAGCAAACAGCTGAGACCTTGTGGTCCGATATGTAAACCAACGAGATTAGCTGAGTAAATGGCCCTGTCTAGCCTTGATTTCTCTAACTTAAGGGAAATTTATAATTTACCTTTTGTCCTCCCCTGAGATCACCTTCTGCTGTATTTTTCTTTTACTTTGCTTTTATCATTCTGAGCAGTATTTTACCAGGCTGTATTGCAGAACAAATCTCTCGTATTGTAAGGCAAAACATACTAGATTTCAAGAAGGCCACTATAACTTAGACAAAGGCAAGGAGAAGGGCATTAATGCAGGCCAGGCTGTCAAGTGTCAGCTTTCACTATGAAGAAACAACTGGCTGTTCAAAACCCCAGCCTGCAGAAATCCCTCAGAGGATTGGGTTACTGATTGTGATAAGGGTTTTATTTGCATGGTTGGATTAAATATAGCTTATCTCCTTTATGTTTCTGTTAACCAAGTCACACACAGCTTGAGATGTGAACATCATTTCTGAAACTGAAACTTCCACCTTTCTAATGAAAGGATTTGGAGCAGTTCACAGAGCAGATTCCTTTCTCTCTGGATGCAAAAATGAAACTGGAGAGTGGTCATGTCCTTCCAGACCCAAGCAGCCTCATCTAGACTTTACAAAGACATGCTAATTTAGTTTTCATGGTACATATAGATCTTGTTCAGACAAATTACAGCACAATGGCTTAAAACATAAAACCAGCTGCTCCTGACACAGAAAATCCAGCACCAGCATTAACACAACATCAGTCTGTGGCATGAGAGCAGGCAGAGCTCTGTCTAAAGGAACTGGCTTCAAGTGCAGAGCAACTTCCAAGGATGAACAAAACATTGACTTGTGAGTGGGATTCTGGGCAGATATGAAGACAAGCTGTGCATGGTGGAAGAACATTTCTTCTGCCCATGGTTGCATGGCTTCACACAACCTACCATGGGTCCAGGCAGGAAAAGAAGGGGAGCCCTTTGTAGTCAGCAACTGAGAGCCCTCCCCTGGCAAATGCACTGCAGAGATGTGCAGTAATTCCTGTGACACTTCAAACTGTGCTGAAGTCTTAGAAATGCCTGGCAACTGATCCAAGATGCTACCACATTCAATTTTTCTAGGGCTGCTCATAGATCCCTGATCTGCATTGACAAAGGGAGTTCTGCAACTCAAGCACACACAGCAAACCAAAGCCAAATTGCGTAACAAATACAAGGTTCTATACCAGTTTGACTAAGCAAATTACACAGTTTGCAGAGGGCTTAACTTGCTGCCCACATCAAGGGCTGAGCATACAGACTGCAACACTCAGACTTCTAGCCAGTAAAGGTAAAAGACCTGTCAGTAACAGGCCTTTTGGAGCATGAACAGTTTGCAGTTGCAAAAAAAGGACAGGAGTCTGATCACTACAGTAAATGATACTTCCTGAGGAGCCTTTAACCTGTATCATCTATTCATGTTCTACTTCCCAGAAGCCTGTTTTCTCAGCACATACCCTCACGTACAAGAACGCAGATAAAACTTTGTGGCCCCAGCTCTGCAGTGCCTTTCTTGCTTGCCACCAGCCAAATCCTAGGCCACATCCAGGCACTACCATAATTAGCAGTTTGGCTATACAAAATTGCTGAGAGTAGGAACCAGGTAACAACCTTGATTGCAAACTCTCTACTGCTAACAAATCTCTTCAGTACAAAAACCCCAAACCTATCACTTAATGCAGTATCAAGATCCCAGGCCAGTATTTATTGTCACAGAGACAGTATAAACTCATTCCTGAAGAAGTATCAGCTGTATCAGTACCTTAGTTCCTAACCCTTCAGAGAAAGGAGCTGACCCTGAAGAAGTCACAAGTCTTACTACTTTAAGATGTACTACAGTTTACAGAAATAAGTTTGTTTTCGAGAGGATTAATGTGTGGGAGATGCACCAGGCCAGGCTCCATGGACTTTCATTATTACACAAATCAGTCCTGTGCTGAGGCATAAACTGCAGGATCTCTTCCACCTGGAACCATAATCAGAAATTATGCCATATGCTCATGCAGCTCTGGCTAAGAGCAAGTGAGGGGAGCTCCCTTATTCTCTTGTACTGTGCATTTTTTTTTCCTTCTGTAAGACGGGAATACCAAAGCTAACCAGCAGCATTCAGGTAACTCTTTAATAAAAGAACTTAGGATGTTTAGGAAAGCATCCTAACACCTCAGGAAGTAAAAAGCAGGCATGCATAATGCATTGAACAAATTCCAAAAGAATATATGACCTGTTCTCCTTAGAATGCATCAATCACATTAGTATCACTTTCTGTACAGAGATAACAGACCTCCTGATGTATCCACCTCGGTGAGTTTCACAGAGGGTTCATGCGATGTTGATAGTGCACACAGCACAGAATAGGATACTTGAACTAAGCAAAGCAATTAGCTTTCCACTATGACTCTGCCCAAAGCTTAGAGACAACAGTATCCTCATCTTGCTGGGAAGTTATAAATGCATTTATTATGACATGCAGCTGACAAGGTGAGTAGCACAGCCAAGGACTCACAGGAAATGTGGTCAGGCAACACCAGTGTAAGGATGGAACAAATCCTCATTCCCTCTACTGCTCACAACCTAAACACGTAACCTACTTGGGGTAACACTGCCTGCTCTTGCAGCTCACTGTTCTGAAGTAACTATAAGCAGTACTACAGTTACTGTATTCCTATTCCTTATTCAGCTCTGACTTAAGCACTACTCCTAAACAAGAGTCAGGTGTTTCAGCAGAGTACTGAAGTAACTGTTTATGTACCAGGCTGCCTCCACGCGTGAAGGCATGGAAGAGAGAGATTGCAGGAGCACTGAGCAAGCTCACCTAGGACACTCCCCTGGGCCTTGTGTCTTTTATTGCCACAGGGTCTCCCTGGAGGCTGTAGAGGTTTCAACCCAGAGGTGTTGGTTCCTACGGAGAGGAAGCAGTATATAGAAACAGTACAGCATTGGCAATGACAACGTTAATAATTTAGCACCTGTCGGAAGAGAGGTGAGAAATGCTCCTGCTCAACTTTAACCCTTACTGTCCCAAGGAGAACGGTGCTTCAGTCCTGACTGTAGTCCATCACCACCAATAAGGGACTCTTCACCCTCCCTTCTACATGTGCCGTACTTATCCATATCCCCCTGTTAGACAGCAGCTGTTTTGGAATAAAACCCTTTAAGTCTGCAACCAACTAACAAGGAGCAATTTAGTTCCCCATAGCATTATGTGAGGTATTTGCTTTGGCATAGAACCTGAACTATGTTTTAAGAACTGATTAAAAAAGCCTGTGCCTACTTCTTTGAAGAACTGAATTGTTAACACTGACAGATAGGACAGAACTTGTTACTTGGCTTGTATGTATATTCTCTAAAGCTGAAAAAAATCACCTCTGGTGCTCAGCAAAGTCTGATCTCGCTCCTGTTGCCTGCACAACACATTTAGAATAGATTATAGCTTTTGAAAGCTCTACAGAAGAGCTTCAAACTGAAATGGCAGTAGATGGGAAGATAATGCACTTTACTTGGTAAGAGCCTTGTAGATGAAATACCGCCTAAGCTTAACAGGCAACTGTCCACTTAAGGACAATAGGAAAAAAAACCAAACCTCTAATCCGAAAGGAGGAAATGGACAATGGTAGGGCCTGAGATAAATGATGACACTACTTTAACACTTTTTCTTATGCTTAATAAGCATTACTGTTAATGTTAATATGCTTATTTAACACAAATGCTAATGCTTAGCATTTCCCAGCTTTTGCTGATAAACAACAGGAGCTGAACAGCATTCAGGCCCACCCCAGCACTCCCAGATTTGATACTGTTCCTCTCACTCATAATCTGCTGATGAGCTTTGTTCACTATCTTTGGCTAAACCATTACTTAGGGGAAAGCCTTCATGCAGTCCCATACACCTCTGCAAAAATAATTTCATAGTTATGCTTTGCTGTGTGGGTTGTTAACAGTGGGGGACAATCCCCTGTTAAGGCAGAAGGGAAGAACATCCCTTCAATAGGGATGTCAGGTGCAGTAGGAAAGCCCCTTGCAGTCCCTTTTGGGTCCTCAGACTCTACCTGAACAGCCACCTCCTGGATGTGGGTTTATCCTTGCTACACAGAAGAATGCTCCCCAGAAAAAAAAAAAAAATGGTAATGGTTTTAGATTTGCATACCCTCCAAAATCTAAAAACTAATGCAACAAGCAATTACTGAGGGAAGACTGGTGATATTTTGCAAGACAGAAAACAGTAAGGGAAAAACTACCTGTAAAATGAGATGTGAATCAAAACTGCCTCAGGGACACTCAAGTCCCACACACCACAGCATCACAGCTCTTAGAGGAGGCAGACAGTGCTTCTATAGCACCTAAGTCTGCAACCTCAACATGGCCCATAAATTTATGGACATATCTAAACTGGGCCATACAAGATAAAAACCTACTTTTAAATGCATATATTCCCAAGGGGAACACAGAGAGGGTGTGATTATTCTTTGTGCCTGCAATACCTGGTAGAGGAATAAAGACCATTAGAAGGTCTCAGTCTGCTTACCCAAAGAAGAATCACTAGCAAACTTTCTTCTCTGCAAAAGGAAATGAGACAGTAACACACAGATCTGACACCAGGATCCCAGCATTACCACCCACTAGATGCTCTTTTTCTGCCATACTCCAGTTACTCCAAAACATATTTAGGAAGACTAAGATGTAAATGGGTCAGTAAGGACTGGTAAAGAGAGGTACTTTAGAAAAACTTGCTATTTTAGTATCACCCCCTCTACAGAGAGGCACAAAGCTAAAACAGGTCTACAGCATATTTAGTTAGCAAGTCCCTGTGTCTTATCTCAGTAGGACCAAATAGTTCATCCACACTTTAGAAAACCTTCCATTCTTATCCTCAGCTATAAATACACAGATAGAATCACATGAATAGGTACACAGAAACATAACAGAAAAGATTAGCTGAAAAGACTGCTCCCCCCAGTAACCATAACAACAAATAAGAGAAATCCATTTGTCTGAGGGATCTGCTTCTCTCTTTTTGGTAGTATCTTTTAACTTAAAAACAGCTGCATTGGAGTCAAAGAATAAAGCTCAAGATAGTCACAAAAAATAAAGGATGTATTTTTCTCCAAAGATCAAAACCGTAACTAACGTAAGACATTCATATTAGAGTATTAAGTTCAGTGTCCAGAAAAAAACTCATCTGCCATATAAAAAAAAAAAAAAAAAAGATACTGCAATTGCTTTACTGCTCAAGAATCTCTGCTCAAAACTGCTTAATTCTTCTCTCACAAAGTTTTGTCAGTAACTTGATTTTAACTACATTGTACAAACAATTTTTGTTCTCCACCCTCATCTTATCTAAAGCTCTTCTTTTGTTCTGGAGAGTTTTGTTGCATGCTCCTCTATAAATTTGCTCAAATGCTCTAAATCTCTGTCCCCGCCTTCAAATTTAATAGGGTTGTTCTTCTTGTCCTTCGGAGCAAAGTAGATGGTGGGGAATCCCTCCACTTTGTAGTGGTCATTCGTCACGTCATTGGCAGTAGCATCCATCTTGGCTATAATCAGATTTTTCTCATTCTTGTATTTTTTACCTAGCTCATTATACACTGGTTCTAGTTTCTTGCAGTGTCCACACCATGGGGCATAGAACTCTATGAGAACATCATTCTTTGGATCCATCACTATGGTATCAAAAGTTTTACCCACTACCACTTTCACGGGCCCTTTGTTATTTTTTGGCACTGGCTGGGACTTCACAATTGGCTTCAGTTTTCCTAGAAGGAAACAAAACACACAACACTGTTAGAATGTGGTAAGAGCAGCCTTTACAATCTCCCCTAAGAAAGGGCAGAAGTACATCCTCCTGCCAGGGAAATATCACTGCACCAGTAAATGAACTTGCCTCAGCATGAAACACAGGCTAGTTAACTGGTGACCTTTTGGCCCAATAACCTCATGAAATATGGGCAACAGTTTGTTTTGCAATTTCCTAGAACCCTTCTCCTCCTTTTATGGCTGTCCATCCACAAAGTACTAAACCATGATTTAATATAGTAGTCCCCAAATATGAATGACCAGCTCACTCTTTAAAGCCACAGGAACATTTTAGGCTTGTAAAACAGACTCTGCCTACTGGAGCCATTGCCCCAGGAAAGAACCCTTGGAAGAGTAAACAATATGGCTTAACAAACCTCTATTTTAGAAACTGTACCTTTTTTGAATGCCAGCACAAACTGTCTGAGTACATCAGAGTCAAACTCTTCTGGCTCCATGGCATATTTCTTGCCACCTTCATCCAGAATGGCAGCATTGACATCCTCTCCACTCTCAAGCAGGCCCAAGTCTTTTATTTCGGAAGAATAATCTTCCTCATCAGAAACAGCAAACACGTATTCAGGGAAGTCTTTAGCCACTTCCAGGACTTTGCTTCTCCAGTACTGGGTAGCTGAAAAACCAGAACAGGACAGAATTGGTAATTTCTAGTTATTTAGTGCCTGCTTCCTCTCAAAGTGGAGGAAGGGTAATTGTAGCAAACCTACCAACACGGTAGTCGAAACTGAAGTCCACAGAATAGTAGACAACCACTAGAGGACGCTTGGAGTATCTCTTGGCATCGTTAGAAGGCTTGCGATGACCAACAAGAGGCAAAGCATGTTTTAGCACGTGCTCTTTAATCTCAGATCCATCTGTGGAGTCCTGTAAAGAAGTCATGAAAAAAATTCAAGCAAATGGATTTAAGTGGCATTTCTGCTACACACTACTAAAAAACCAACATTGGTACACACGTGAATACAAAAGAGGGAAGGGCACATCATAAAAACAAGGCTGTCACCACATTCTTCAAATTTTTGAGCACTGAATATTGTAATGATAAATTATTATTTGAAAACATAACATCTGGACTAATTTCATATTGTACAAAGCAATATAGTTTCAGAGGACAAACAGGTTGACTCAAATATCTAGTGGCAGTACTTCCAACAGGAAGATGCCATCTGATCATAATTAGAGAAACTTCAATCCCACAAAGAAACCTTTTAGCTCTGGACCATCTACTCACTTTAAGATTCAGAACATGCATCTTGGGCTCATGCTTTGACTGAAATTTTTCTGGCTGCATGACAACCAGTTTTCCTGGAGATGCTTTCAATAGTTTTGCAATCTCGTTGCTGAAGGTGTGATGGAATTTATAGTCTTCTCTCAAACCATTAGCTGAAAAATTAAGGTATGGGAAAAGGAAAAGTCATTAGAAATGAACTGACAGCCTGTAACAAATCTTGATATTACAACTGCAAGGAAACTCTCTTCCTGTTCTCAAGGTGATGCAGAACAATCCAGTCTTAGACAACAGTTCCCATCCAGGGGTGAATAGCATGTGAATATACATACAATTCCAGTATCACTATTTAAATGCTGTTCAACAACCCATCCACTTGAAGAGTTGTTCTACACACTCAAACTCCCAAAACATATACAGCAAAACAGTTATTCTTTTATCAATCTCCTACCTCTTGGCTTGCCCCCAAACAGGTCAGCTAGCCAAACTACTTGCTTTGGGGCAGCCTGAGAAACAGTTCTGTATCTTGCCATGCTGAGGCAAACAAATCACCTAATAATCCTAATCCAACTATGACAGCAGCTCCAGAATTAGACATAGACAGGTTGCCAGGAACAGTCTAACTAAACTGACACAGAAGTGGATGATGATTGTTTCTCTGGGCCTCTCATCCCAAATGAGTTTGGTGAAGACTGACTGTGGACTACCAGTTATGAAACTAGAGTAAGAGACAGCAAACACATCTAGACTTTAAGCCAAGAAATTGTGGTTTGTTCCTCAGGATGGAATTTTCCCTCCTCTCTGGTGCATGTGTTTTTAGGGACACAATTACCAAGCAGAGGTATATTCTGTGACTGGCTGACACTTTAGTTACAGCCTCAAAATCTGGTGTGAACTTACTTTCTGAGTACAAGATCACCCTTCCTCCTACTTCTTCTCTCCAAACTTCCCTACTCAACTAGAAAAAGAAATAAATGATCTCTCTATGCCCAAAGTCCCAGGCAGAATCCAAACAAAACATGTATTTCATTAATATTTGAAAACATTCTTTACCTGCTTCCTGATAGAGCTGATAGGCTTTATCATTCTCTCCACTAAAAATACCAATGATGATGACATCATCCCCATCCCTCAGAAATTCTTGTACCTGCTTGGTAGCCTGAATCTGTTTGGATGGAGGACCAGCCTGTTCAATCATGTAGTCGACAATACCTGTGAGACAAACCCGCCCGCAAAAAGTTGCTTAGAACATTTATTGAACTGCCAGATTTAGGAATTCCATCTACAACATTGTATAATATCACATTTCCCATGGACACCTTTCCTCCTGTGCAGCCCTCCCACAACAACCTAAAGACCAAATCAGCAAGACCTCAGTCCAAGTTTTTAAAGCTGCAGTTCTGAACATTCCCTTTCAGGTTGGTTTCAGAAGAGGTGGCCAAGCACACAATCCATAGATATCAGTTGATCTTGTGAGCAATGCTCCTTTCTGAATTTCCAGACCCTTCACTGTCTCCTGAACCTGTTATGAGCCAAAGTGCTACCTGAATAGTCTTAAGTCCTCCCTCTTATTAAAACTTAATAGTGAGTATTTTGCCAGCCCTCAAGGTGCATTCCAGTACAATTAAAAACTGCCCATTTACTCATACTGCCACAGCTTCACCATGTGTATTTAACTTACTTGATATTGAAAAGAGCTGATGCTACCACCAAAAGATGCCCTCAGAAAACAAGAAAAAGCTTAAGTTGCAGTACCGTATTTTTCCCGTGGACCACTGTAGTCATAAGGCTTGCCCTTGCGGAAGATTTTGAGAGTTGGGTAGCCAGTAACATCAAACTTCTTGGCAAGCTCAGTTTCAGCCGTGGCATCGACTTTAGCCAGGGGAATGGGAGGCGTGCGCTTGCTGAGCTCCTTGGCAGCCTTCTCATACTCTGGAGCAAGCCTCTTGCAGTGTCCACACCTAGGGAGGGAGAGCAGAGGGCACTTTTTACAAGCTATTAAGCCTGCCAGGTACCTTCTACCTCTGAAGTGGAAGAGTTAAGTATTCCAGAATGCAGAAATGGGATCATTGAACCCACAGAGGACACTTCAGCCTAGGAAGACGTGTCTCTGCAACCTGAAGCTGGCCCCTGTGCCTGGCCTCACACTACTATAGGCAGGCTTCATTTTTAGAGGCCATTTTTAAACTAAGGACCAATTCTCTTTGGTTTTCAGTATCTAACTGTGTTCCCAAATTAGTAAATATTGTGAATCTCCAGTGAAGATTTGGACACCACCCCTTGCTGAGACATAGATCCAGTCTAGTCTGCAAGTGATTTGCAGTGTGTTCCTAGATGCAGATTAGAACTGAGGTACACCACAGCTACACACACCTGCATGAGGCAAAGGTGTGTAAAGAGGCATAACAACACAGGTGACTGCCTTCTTGCTTACCATGGAGCATAGAACTCCACCAGGATTATGTCAGCATCATTCACAACTTCGTCAAAATTATCCTGGGTCAATACCAGAGTAGCTTCGGGTGGAGGAGTCCAGTTGGGGTCAGAAACCTCCTTGACTTTGGCCACAATAGCTGAAATACAGTTCAATAACCCAATTAGCAAGCATGCATTTTATCATACCAGTAGCATGTCAAATGCAAGAATTTGAAATCAGAGTGGCAAGCACGGTGTAGGACCAATGCTTACACATCAAGCTTACATGAGAACACTTTCTTAATCAAGCTTCTTTATGCCTTATTTCCTTGTTGGCATTGCCAAGAAGGTCTTCTCTTCACCCCATAGAGCAGGGCACAGATCTGTATTTTACAGCACTGAATTCCATCTCAAAACAGCCAGGAAAGGTAGTTTTTCCCCATCTAGCTGGAGATGAGCATATTTATTAAGCAAAAGTGGGTTTCTACACAGTCAATATACAGACGAAATGTTTATTGTCTGATCCTTCAGAATTTTTGATCCTTTCAAAAATGAGACTGCCTCCTCTTCTAGTCAAGTCATATTTCTAGAAACCTTCTGTCAGTAACAGCACTACCCACTACCTGTAAAATTGTCCTCTAGCACGCAGCCCGTTGAGAAAACAGGGGACATTTCAGCATTCATAATATATATTATATATTCATAATATTACTTGGCTTAATAATAAGTTGAGATCAGAGTCCTTCAAAACGGCCACAAATTAAGAAACAAGGCCATATGCTACCTTGCTTTCTTACAGAGAACTGCAAAGGACTGGTGCTTACCATCTTCCGTCCGAGACCCATCATAGTCAACAGCTTGGCCTTTTTTCAGGATTTTGATGGTTGGGTAGCCACTGACATCGAAACGACTTGACAGTGAAGTGGCTGCAGTAGCATCTATTTTGGCTACAGGAATAGGAGGGTCATTTTCCTTCAGAGTTTTGGCTATCTTTTCATACTCAGGAGCAAACTGCTTGCAGTGCCCACACCTGTCAGAGAAGACACAAGTAGGTACAGAGGTGCTCATGTTTGTCCTGCTACATGTTTGCATCACGGAGAGGTAGAGAGCAACTGTAGCTAATGTACTGTTCATATCAAAAACATTTTTTTCCCTTAATTTTCATTCATTGTGGAATGTATTGCCATATAAAAGCAATGTAAAAAAATTCAACAACTGCTTTTACAACAAAGTTGTAAACTTTGTATTACAAGGTTTATTGCTCCTTACTCCTACTTCCTTCCTTCCTTCCTTCCCCCACAAATACGGTCTCAATTCAACTTCAGCTTCTCCCTTAGGTTCATCTTCTTTCCCTAGCACCCTAAATAGAACTAAAGAGAAAATAAACCAGCAGTTAAGCTGGCCTAATGAAATCTCCCACCCACCATGGTAACACAACATCTGCTCCCTCTCTGGCCACACCACAACTCTCCAGGAAGAACAGAGGCTCCTGCTGCAAAAGCAGGCATAACAAAGGATACTAGCATAAGAAATGCTAAATATAGCCTGACAAACTAAAGATGAAACCAGGAAAATGTAGGAAAACAGAAAGAAGTGTGTGGCAGCCCGTGCTCCTCAGCCTCTCAGCTGGTAGGAGGGGGAGTAGAAAAATAGGAGAGGTGTTTAGCCTATGATGACACACATCCTTCTGCTTAGATAAATTAAACTTCACGTTTAGTTTCCATGTAGACAAACTACAGCTGCAGAATTAGTGCCTACAGCCAAGCAGGGATGAGATTCCCTGTGACAAGAATGGCACAAGTTAAAATGCAACTCTACCTCAAGCAAGATCATATTCCCCGTCTATTCAAAGGCTGGAGAAGGACCAATGAGTAAGCCATTTTTGTATCACTGAACCACAAAGGAAAAGAGGTTCTGGCTGCAACACTAATTCAGCAACTCTACTGAAAATATCTTCTACTCTTGTTTTCCCCCACTACTACCCCTAATCTGGAAGAATCCAAGAGAAGACACATCCTGGCCTAAATCCTTTGTCTTGGTTATATGCAGGTAAGTCCATTGTAGCTCCCTGGAGCAGACCAGTGGTGCTGTATACCCTGGGATGCCAGCAGAACTGCCATCATTAGGTAGATGTATGAGGCACTGGTTAAATTGATAATACAAACAAGCTACGTCCCTAATCACACCAAACGCTTCTGGCAAGGATAGAAATGTGAATTTGGAAAGGAAAACCTTCTGGCAATTCCCCTGCTAGGGAAGCCTTCATTACGCCATCTAGATGAGCAAGTACACACGTTCTCAGTGGTCCAGCACTGGCACAGGATGATAGCAGGCTGCAAGACCACACTGTATGACTTTTCTGGGCCTCACTGGGACCATTTCTGTTCTCTGACAGGCATAAAACTGTAAAAGGATAGAATCAGGCTTGTGCTCCCCATGGCATGGGATCCCTCAGTATGACCCATATCTGGGTCATTATTGCATGGTACAAGGGAGGGAAAAAAGGTTCTTCTCCACCACCAGAACCATCTCTTTTTCTGGACAATAGCAGAGTCTAGGGCATCTCCTGCAGGCATGTTACTCCTTTGTCATCTTTAAGGTGGCAACCCAAGCTTTTTAGGAGCTTGCCCTGGCAGAGAAACCCTCTGAGGCTGCACTCAAGGAGGTACTGCTATGAACTCACCATGGTGCGTAGAACTCCAGCAGCACAGTGTCCTTGTCTGCAGTGAAGGTGTCAAAGTTTGCATCATTCAAGACTAATACACCATTTTCTTCTTTAACTACAGAATCATCGTCATCTTCATCATCTTCTTCTTCATCGTCGTCATCATCACCATCATCATCAGCTTCTTTTATAACAGATTCTGGAAAGGTAAGAATATAACACAGATGAGATTGTGTCAAGTTTAACATTATATATTGGTTATATATATTTCAGTGTATATATATAAAATATATGAATGTATTATATATTATATATGAATATATATATATTCAGTATATATATATATATATATTTGAGTAAAGTATCAACAGATATTTCACATTTCAGGATGAACTAACAAAATGGACACAAGAAGAATTAAAGCACACAAATCTATGCAACAGTTGCCACCAAGGTTTGGCGGACCTCTCATTGAAATGTGGGCAGTGAGACAAGTTTTGCTGGGCAAGAAGGACACACAGATGATACCTGAACTTCAAACAGAACCCCTTCATCATGCAACAGAACAGCTGTCCTTTAAGTGTAACCAATTTGAAGTTCAAAAAATTAGTCTTACACCAAAAAAGTAGGTGTTATCTGTCCCCAGTGCTTCCCTCATACCCCTACTCACAAGACCTGTAACACTACAATAGCTATGTGCTGCCTGTCTGAAGGTCTAATAAACAGACAACACTTGCTATAAACCCAAATGTTACAATTTCTCTACTGTCAAGGTGGTTTGGAGGCAGCACTTCAAAACTGTGCTTCTTTCCTGACTGCTCCATCCGCCTCTGTCACTCTTGCTTTCAGTCACAGCAATGTTTCAGGTCTGGTATTCATTGAGGAATCTCCACTCACAAGAGCATCTATCGCTCTTCTCTGGATCAGCACCACACTGCATTGAGTGTAAAATCAAGTAAGTGATTGCAGGAGTCCCATGAAAACCCACACTTATGTAACTGACAAATGCCAGGTATCCTTCTAAAAATTAAAAAAAAAATTAATAATAATAATAAAAGATATAGCAGTGAAAGCTTCTTCTTTCAAAGATCTTTTAGGGAGGCCTTGGATTTAAGATCAATAACACTGGTCTAGAACTGGCCTTTAAAAGAGAAAGCAGATTTGTTAAATTACCAAAGCAAAATCAGCACGTGAAAGCTGAAGCTAGGACATTTCTACTGGTTCATTCGTTGTTAGCTTGGAATTTGAGATGTTTTTTTCAATATCTGACCTTTCATATGTTCCTTTAAACTTTTTTTTTTTAAAAAAAAACAACATGTTATCTTTCAAGGAAACCAGACCTTCCTGAAGGACTTTAAAAGAATTTCAGTTACAGAACAAGTAATGAAAATATCTCATCCCAAATTAAAACTGTAAAACAATGAAGCTTAAGTCACTTTTGACCAGTGGGAGTCCCAGGAGAAGGATGGGAAAAAAAACTAAAGAACAGAAAAAAGGATTAAGGTTTCTTGTTCAAAATTATTTTCTATTTAACTTTAACTGGCTTTTGACTAAGCTGAGAGGAGTTATTGCAGCAGTATTCTGAAAGTACTCCGATTTCATCAGGAACTTGAAAGCTAAAAATGATAAATGTGTGCTGTCCAGGTATGAAAAAGCAAACAAAACAAAACCCACTTTTCTCAGACCAACAGCAGACAACACGAACAACCTCACCATGGATAAAATTATGCCATTTAATTGCAATAGCTGTTTTTATTTTAGTAGAAAGTATACAAAAACAAGCCTACATGCTCTCAGGAAACAGTATGGGGTCTTCATGTAACACAAAAATACTAAAGCTTCTGATGAGGGGAGAGATCACAGGAGATCATTTATCACACAAGAGTAGTCAGCTGGATTAGGTTTCCTTAACAAGTACTAGTGTTTCACCTGATCTTTGAAGCAGCTAAAAGCACTATTTGCAAGCAGACAATGCCTCCTGTGTTGCAGCACTTGCTCACTCTTGAGTGAATCTAGCCGTAACATACTTGCAGGACTGCCCAGGTGAAGCAGCTGGATTTCAGGGGGCTTCAGCAGGCAAAACTTGTGCCTTACATGGGTGCCCAGCAGCTCTGAGGGCTGTGTTTCACTGCAGGTTGTTCCTGGTTGGCCTACGCCTGAATTCCTGGCTATTGCATTCCTGGCAAATTGCTTAAGATACGATTTTTCCTGACACAAAGAAATGCGAGCAAAACCAGCCAGCCGGTTCTGCTCCTGCACCTCAAATTATCCACCAGGTTGTCACCCTTGTTCCTGCTCACTACCCACACTCAAGAGAGACAAAGACCACAGCAGCTACAGTGGCACCCGCTTTTTAGAAAACCAAGAACAAGAACTTGCAAAAGCATCCAGCACCAGTGGAAAATGTAACCATTAGATCCACCATCCCTCGCTGAAATAATTTTATATCTTCAAAATTATTTTGTATCTACAGCAAGTGGCTGTACAGCCTTTGAAGGTAAAACTTCCCTGACAGTGACACATTGTCATGGGCATTACACACACCCACTTCTCCTCCCTGGAGATGGAGGCAGGACAATAGCACTGGAACAGCAGAACTCCACCTTTTCCCTAGTGGCTTGAGGAGGGCGTGCATTAAAGAAAAAGTTAACCACGCTTAGATATTGGTCCTTAAGAGTGCAGACTGACTTTCTGTAGCTTCCAGCTTCACCAACACCTAGGGCTATCATAGCTACCTCTACCATCCCTTTACTGTTGGGACTGAAAGACCTGATTCAGGGACCCAACCATGGAAGAAGCAAGCAGGACTTTTTTTCCCCCCATTAAAACCAATAAACTTTCCTCTGCATTGAAAATTTACAATTTAAAGAAAATTAGTGTAACTGTGACACATGAAGTGGCAGAAGTAGCTAATAAATACTTGCATAAATCAGCTCATGAAAATAAAACAGCTGCTCCCAAACTGAAGTGTCTTTATTTCTTAAGGAGACTTGCAAAGCCAGTGGACAAACCAACAGTTGTGACAGCTGTAGCTAAAATCTGCCATCTGGTAAAATACAGAAAAAACACTTTTACTCAGGGAAGAAGAAAAAAAAAAAATCCAGAAATTTCAACACTTTACTACACAAGTCAAAAAATGTGATCAAGAAGGTACTTTTTTTAAGACTTGAAGTACATGACTCTGGCTGGCAAGCCTTCATTAGGATGACAACTACCGTGAAATTAATTCTTACAGTAACTTCACTGAACACTCAGTGTTTATCAGAAATATGGCCTAGTAACATTTTCTTAAACAAAGCAGATCCTGGACAAAAAAAAGCTGCATCCAGATACCAATGACTTTGGGATTCTGCTTGAAAATTTCATTTTGAGGAGCACACTGTTCCGTAACTGGATGAGCTCGGTTATCAGAAACCGAGAACTCAGGACTCATAATGTGTTGCTAGGGCATTCAAAAGATTTTCAATAATATCAGCCCCCCTCAATCTTTTCTGAGGTGGATCCTCTACATGATCCCTCCTTTCCCATCATCAGGATACTAAGGGAGTAGTGGTCAGGATCCAGGCTAACCTCACTTTCAGCATATCTGTCTCCCTGCCCTGCTCAAACCTCACTTCCCAAATCATGCAGTGCAACAAACTGGGTTTGCTCGGAACTTTTTATCTCCCCAACAATCAATGTGCATAAGATTACTTCCCTGTTGCAAAGTAAATTTATTCCACCTCATCCAAATCTGTATTCCAAGGGCAAAAATGGAAATCCCAAACTATGTGCACTTTTGAGGCAAAGGCTTTGTAAAGCCTAGTTCATGATCTATATACAAATTCAAGACACACAATAGAACCTGGAAAACGATTCATGTTGGGGAGTGGATTAGTGTTCAGCTCCACACAGCAGGAGATACTTCCATCAATGTGTACCTTTGATCCCGAGAACTCCTATAATGAGAAGTACAAGCAAGCATGGGAAATACTGTTGAGAGCCTGGCCCACAAGAAGCTGAGCCACTGCTGCCAGCCACAGGTAACACTGTAACATCACAGGTGTTACTTCACCCTTTGAAGGTGGCAGGGGACATCAGTACTAGGCTTTGTCACATGTTACAAAGAAACCATAACCATACTCTAGCTAAAAGCCGAGAAAGAGACACAATAATTGTATTACAGTTTACAGAAGAAAAGTGCTCCACAGGAAGATTCTGTATTTCCATCTCCTTACTGCAGCTGCTATATCATTAAGAACATATCTTCACCCTTATCTTACAGACTATACAGTTAGTCACACAAATAGGGTAAACGATTTAAATGCACTTCTGCAAGTTTTAGTGTCTGTTAGGCAAGCAAAAAGTTGCAGGACATGAGCTCAGAAGATCATCCATAATCTAGTCACTCTAAAAGCCCTCTAACACTTAAAATACAGCAGTGTTCATGTAGGAATTATGAAAGATGCATAATTTACCAAAATCCACATGAAAGAAACTTAAAACCAAAAAAAGAAACACCTTCAAATGTCTGCCTCCTACATACAGGCACTATACTCAATAAGCCTGAGCAGCTTTGTTTCAGCTAATTTTGGAAAGGAGACACACGTCAGTAAAATTCAAAGACAGTAGGAAGAAACACCAAGAAGATGGTAACAATAGGCCTTCCTTCTGTGCGGGGAAAAAAAATAAACATCAGTTTGAAACACGAAGAACGCACAGGGTCCCTGAACAAAGGAGTAAGGAAAAGAGTGCTCAGTCACAGAATCATAGAACGCTAAGGGTTGGACAGGACCTTAAAAGATCTCAGTCCCAAGTCCCGTAGTCCCCAGCCATGGGAAGGGACACCTCCCACTAGGCCACTCCTTGGTGGCCGGGATTGAGATATCCACAACCTCTCCGGGCAACCTGTTCCAGTGTCTCACCACCCTCAGAGTAAAGCATTTCTCCCTCATATCGAACCTAAATTTCTCCTTTTTCAATCTGCACCCACTATACCTCATTTTATCACCGAAGTTCCTGATGAAGAGTCCCTCTGCAGATAATGAAATCGCAATATGACCTGTTTGAGTGGGAATAAAGAAATCGCAAATTCCCTGGAGATTTAAAAGCCAGGGCTTGATTGCCAACACGGCCAATTGTTAGCGAGCTGTTAACTCCGTGCCTGGGAGAGGCGAGGCAGAGCCGCCCCACGGCGCACGACAGACGAGCAGCGCCGGGACAAGCTGCTCGCACAGACCTCAGCGCCTTCACGGGGCGGGCTCAGCGCCCTGCACAGAGGCCTGCGAGGAGCACCCCAGCCCCAGCGGCGCCCCGCCAGCCCGGGCTCCTCGCAGCGCCCGGCGCCGGGGCCGCGCCACCGCCTCCCGCGGCGGGACCCACCATGCGCTACCGGCCCGGCCCCTGCCCGCGCTCACCTCCGTCGCCATCCTCCTCCTGTGCCGCCGCGCCCTGCGCCAGGAGGGCGATCTGAGCCAGCCCCAGCAGCAGCACCAGCACCCACAGCCCGCGCATCCTCATGCCGCCGCAGCTCCCGGCCTGGTCCGGCCCGTCCGCTCCCGACGCTGGGCTCCTGCCGCCCGCCCCGCCCCACACGGCACGCCGCGCTCGCTGATTGGCTGCCGCCCCAACACGTGCTTGGCGCGGCCACCAATCGACAACCGTCACGAGGGCCGCTGGCGCGGGGTGCTCGGGTTTCGAGGGACCCGCGGCGCCCCCGGGGACCCCCGGCGGCAGCGGCCGCGGTGCTGCAGCGAGACACGGGCGCCATCGGCCGAAGCGGCGGCTGAAAAGCGGCGGCGACACCGCGCGTAGAAGCGCCCGGCCGCTCTGAGGTGCCGCCCCGCCATTGGCCGCCGCAGAGCCGCCAACCGCGGGCCGCCACGCGTGGAGCGCGCGGCCGCTCCAGGGGCGGGAGGCGGGAAGGACGGGGCGGGCCCGCCCCGAGCGGGTGCAGCCACATCGCCCTTCGGGATTGGCGGGCTGGCGCTGGGGGGTGGGGCTAGCGGCCCGCGACAGCCTGTGAGGGCGCGCCGCGTACGAGGGGCGGGGGGAGCTGAGGGCAGCCTGAGGGCGGCGCTGGCGCTTTTTAAATTCTTGCACTGTGAGAGGGGGATTTGGGGAAATTGCTGCGGATGGGAAGGGTGGGATGGAGGCGTCGCCCCTGAGGGTTCCCACAGGGGCCAGGAAGGGTGTGGCGCAGCGAGCCCACTGGTAGCGCCGTGATTGTACGGGATGGTGTCACGGCACAATTTCTGTATGTGTTGCCCCGATGCTTTATCCCGATGCTGGTGAACATCTAAGATGCGAGAAGACAGCGCTAAAACCTGGGCTTTTGGCGCTAGAATTGCCAGTCTGTTCCCGTGCTTGGGCAAATTACAGCTGCTCATAGGCTCGCATAAGGGACCCTTATTTTAGTTTCTACAAAACTTCTGACTCTTGAACTGGTAGGTTGTAAGCATGAGGCACTGCTAAGTTCGGTGTGCAGCGGTTACACTGTAAAAGAGCAGCAGTAGCTGATGATAAACAAATACCTTCAAAGTTTTGAAGTGCAAGCTTAAAATATAAACTCCACAGTTTTAGAGGATTAAGACGTTGTGTTGCTCTGAAAGGCTGCTGTTGCATCAGTAGGCATTTGGCATTTGTAAATGGTCTATAGGTTGAAAAAAAAATCAATCCACATTAAAAGGCCTGCTGTGTTCTACATTCTTAAAATTATAGCCTGGAAGTCAGTGCCTTTTCTCAACTCGGCTACCACACAAATTATCCTGAAAATACAGGGGCAGTTTATTAACTGACTTGGCATATCACTAGAATGGAGTGGGATCTGATCTGAACCAAGTTAAAGCTGTCTGGATCCTGTCAAGATTGTGATCCTGATCCTGCCTGGTTCTGGTATTGATATAAATGTTAGTTTGATTAACATTGATATTCAGTAATTTGATGATATCACGTGATCAAATTGGACACTCCATGCTCTCAGTAGGAAAAATTAAGAGTATGGAAAGCTTTTATTTAAAGTCTTGTTCACTGTTTAGCACAACCCTTCATTTGGCTATCATCTTAGTGTGTGAAAATGTTTGCTGTCTTTGTCCTCTGAGTTTATAAAAGAAATAGTAGCTATTGTGATCCTTTTCTTTTTTTTTTTTTTTAATTTATGTTGGAGATTTTCCGACTGTCAGTGATCTGTCAAGGTAGAGGAATGTACAGTACTAATGGGCACTGCAAAACCAGTTAAAATAGCTTGCAGAAAAAGTGAGCATGTAAAATGAGGAAGTAGTGTCAGTATTGCATTTGTCTGCTGGAATGTGAAATACTGAATTAAATGCTTTTTCTTTCCTAATGAAACCCATAATGAGTTTTATGGTTGTTATGGTTTCTATCTATCCAGGTTAACCAACTGAAAAAGGAGATCAGTAAATTTGCTCAGCAGTTGAAGGTACCAAGTACCAACATCCTGCCAGACAGTGAAAAGGAAGTGCTAACAGTACAAATATAGGGAAGGTGGGTTTGTTATTGCTTATTTGAGCTGCAGGAGGAAAGGCTGGAAGGCAGAACCCCTGTGATCCCTGTTCAGCCAAGGACAGCCTGACTGAGAAATTTGCTGAATTGTCAGTTCATTGTGTGGGTAGTTACAACACTGGTAGCCCGGATGCATCTTAGGCACGTTCCACTAGACAAACAGGGCCTTGGCAAAAGACCGTAGTCTGATCTGTCTTCAAACCAGCAGGGCTGTGCCTGTCTTCCTAGATTAGGGTTGCACAGGATGGCTCAGCGAATATAGAGCTGCAGATGGCACACCAAGCAAATGTGTGATTCATCACAGACCAGCTGGGGTGCCAGCTCTATACAGTTGTGAAATATACAGGGCACTGGGAAGAGTGCCAGCTGTGCAGCTCTTCCAAAGAATTCCTTTCTGCTCTCTGAAGAGCTGGTTACCTGTAAGACTGACCATATGAAACTGAAAATCCTCTGGGCTAAGTACTCCTGGTAAGAACACTACTGCCTTTTGCTGAGTGCGTGTTCTTTATGCAAGTTAATAACAGGAATACTCTCCCCTTTGCCAGGAGGGTCTCTAGGCAGAAGGCAGGTGGAACACACTAGTATAGGGTCATCTATGGGTTAGATGCATAGAAAAGTGAATGGTACAGGTCTCTTGCGGCTTGTCTGATTGTGAGAAATTTGCCATACAAAACCCTCATCCTGAGACACACTGGAGGGCTTGGAAAGCATGAGGCCTCACAGAGCATCTATTCTGTGGTTTCTGGGTAAAAGGCATTTCTACCTGATAACATGGGCTGTGCTGCAGAAAAATGCAGGTATTAGTGCACTCTGGTTATTTGAAAGTGGCATTTTGTGCATACTGTGCTTTCATATACTGATAAGGTGTTAGCATCACTGTGGGCAGACTTGCATCCCCAGAAACAAACAGATGATTGTGGTTCTTAAATGTGCTTCTCCTCAGGAACATTCAATTAAGTGTCTTTCCTGTTTAAGTTGCCAGTGGCTACCTTAGTCTTCACAGGTTGTACCTATGTTCTCCAACATCATTAAGTGGTGGACCGTAGAAATCTCTCCTTGCATCACACTGTGCTTTTCTCCTTCAGAAGGTAGCCTGGACATGAGTAATCCTGTACCTCATTCTGCACATTCTGTGGGGCACAGCTGCTGCTCTTAGAAGAGGCATATTCAGCAGCAAATATTGAAAAAAACAGTGTTCTTCCACAAAAATCATGAAAATGGTAAGGCATGTCAGACTAAGCTATATAGGTCTAACTTCTTCTATTAAAAAGTATTACAATCTCAAAAGTAAGTGTGGACCTACTTGGCCTTTCACAGGCTGTGAGTCGACACAGGCAGGCAGCTGGGACAACCCCAAACTCACAGCAAGGACTCAAAGATTAAATGTGAAGTAAAAATGTAAGACTTAAAAATGGCACAGTGTCATACAAGTGTTTTGAATGATTTTTCAGGTAGTTTTCTTGTCAACCTTGGTTATCCTGTTTGCATAATAGCTAAACTTTCACCTGCCTTGCACATAATCTTCATGTAAATCACTTCAGTAGACCTCAAAATAATGCTTAAAATATCCATCCCAATTTGTGTTTCAACTAAATCTAAAAACAATTTAGAGCAAGAGAGTCTTGTAGAACTCATCATTTTTTGCTCAGTGGATGATTCATGTATTATGATGCTAATTTTAAAATACCTTTTAGTAATTTTCAGTCATCATTGTAGAAAGATGATAGAAAATTTTATGTGAAAATGTTCCGCTTCAATACTACAAAATTCTTGTAAGTTAGTGAAATATTGTAAGTCACAGTAATATAAATACTATTGATTCCTGTATTGCTCTCTTGTTTTGCTGCAATGATTTTGAGTGTCTATCTGGATGACTTATTTTTTTGCCTTTTCTTTTGCTTTTTTTTTTTGTTTGTTTGTTTTGTTTCAGGGATCTGCTTCTTAGTTCTTGGTTCTCTGTTACACCTTGTTCTGTCACTACCAGCCTTGGTAAAAATTCTCTCTCCATCTTTCTTAAAAGACTCCTTCATGTGTTAAAAGGCTGCAATGAGTGACCCTGGAGACTTCTCCAGGCTGAGAAATTTCCACACTCTCAGCCTTTCTTCGATGGAGAGATGTTTTAGTCCTGTCATCATTCCTGTTGTCCTCCTCTGGAGGTGCTGTGACAGGTACATGTCTTTCTTGTGCTCAAAGAAAGGAAGGGGATTCCAGAGCTGGACACAGTGTTTCAGGTAAAACCACCACAGCAAAGTAAGGGGATGCCTCTGGATAGCATCCCGTCCTTGTGGCATATGAAGTATATTTGGACACTCCCTGCTGGAAGGATTTGGGCAGCATTTATGGTAGTTAGTTAACCAGGGCCCAGGCAGAGGAATGTGATTACTTAGTGAACTCAGATGCTGGCTGGCACAATGCTGGCCCATGCCAAGCAGAGCATTTCCAAGGACTTCTGAACATTCTTCATGGAAGCTGTTTGTGTGCAGCCAGCCTGCTTGGAGAGAGAATTAATTAGTATAGGCACAAGCACCTCCACATTGGTTGGCCTCAGTGCCTAGGAATATTCCAGACATGCCTAATTTACTGGTATAGGTGTGGCAGTTCAGTGATGTGTAAGTTGGTGCCAAGAATAGCAGAGAACATGTTGGAAAGTATGTACTCACTGAGGTAAGTAGTCTGAATGCTGACCCTTATAGTATTTTCCCTAGAGTTCTACATTGTAAGAACCAATAGATAATGAGATTACTTCAGATGTCTGTGAAGTTACATCCCAAATTCGGATGACCACCTATCCAATACAGCTCTGTAAGTGTAGTTCATATCTAAACCGTAGTTTATATCTATTTTTTTATTTTCTTCAGATTAAATATATACCTATAGAACACTTTAATGGAGTTTATTGGTAAATGAACATGGAATAAGCTTCAGAACTTTCAGCAAAGTCACATTCTAGTGTTTTCTGTGTGCAAACCCAGTCTTACCAGTGTCAACCCTACAGGGTGCTGATAGCTTTCATGTAGCAGGGTGGATGTAACAGAACCTTGATAGT